ATATGATTCAACTCTACTGTTACAAAATATTGTTTTTGCCCAACGGCTTAGTACAACTTAATTTAAGTGGCTCCAGGAATTTTGTAGGTTCCATATCTTCAGTATTACATGGGTCAGAAACACCCATGGTGCTAATTAATATAACTCTCACAGGTTTTATAGAGCAGAAAAATGTTAATTTCAGTCAAAATTTTCTATTAAGAAAACTACACACAAAAAATGAACATTAATCTTGAAAGGGGTGTGACTTCCCTTTTCTTATGTTTAATACTGGTTTGTTTATTAACTTCCCATTTTTATGTAGAGGATAACCTCAATTACATGAACAAATATGAATCCAGTGTACACATATATACACATGGCACCTAACATGCATAACATTCTCACTTCATACATCAAATTTTCTGTCTACTACTCAATAAGAAAAAGACACTCCCACAGATATTTTACTCTATCATCTTGAAGCTTTGTTGCTTATCGAAGATCGTCAACTTGAAGATTAGTAAATTATGATAGTACTGATTGAAATTTCATTAGGATACATGTGTTTATAAATCCATGTAGACAAGAAGAGATCAAAGAATGAGTTTAAAGCAATTCTTCTATTAGTTCACCTTTCAGTCTCCAATTTTGTCTTTCTTTCAGCAACAGTAAAGACCCTCCATTGGGACCATTACTTCAACTCAAAATTTATATCCCACATGAGGGCCCAAAATAGATAAGTTAACTTTTATTTTGGTTTTTCCTTGCCTACTTTCTTTGGTCTTGTATCATTGAAAAAGAGACAGATACAAGCTTCTCTTTGATTGCACATAATTTTAGCCTCAAGTAACATAGAAAGCCCAACACAATCTCTCGAACTCTTCCAATCTGAATTACAGGATCTTTCTCTAGGAAGCCCACATTTCCAGAAAGTATGAAAGGGTGCTTTTTTTTCTTTTTTCTTTTTTCTTTTTTTTTTTTCTGCTAAGTTTCTTTAACATAGTTTCTTGCCCATTCACTCACAAGGAGTATTCTTTTTTGCCAAAATATACTCAAATGTGGAGGTGAATACATGATATGCAGAAAAAATGGTAATCAATATCTACATATCAATCATAAAACAGAATCAAGCAGCTGCACAAGTAAAATTAGGTCTTGAAGCAAATTATTGTGACTACTGGAAGCTGAACCTAGACTGGGATGGAAAAAAATTGTGTAAGATCACAATCTAAACATTGTAAAACCACAAAAAAGCCCTATCCCATGATACCAGAGGACAGCAACAGATTTCATTCTCTTCCTTTCAGCTGTGTTAAAGTCATTGCCTTAGAATCCGAAAATGGTCAAATCATATTCAGAACCACATTTCAGTTCCTTTCATCTTCCTCTTCCTTGCGCTCTAAAGGTAGAATTAAAAAAATTCAGTACCTAACATTTGAAAATAAACTAAAAGACAAAAAGACTGTCAAATTCTTTCGTTTCATCTATATTACTTACAACACTTAACAATTTCAGCAAGCTTTCAGATTTTTAACCAATATTCAATATTTATTTTCTCTTCACTAAATAAACTCAGTTGATGCCCTATATAATTTAGGACCAGACAACTCAAGACATTAGGATGACAAAATTAAATGCTTAGTGCTTCCGAGTATTAAATGCTTGATGTTTTCAAGCTTTCAAATGCTTTTTATAATCTAAACCCCAATTCGATTAGGAAGAGAATTGTGCCAAAACACGTACAGGCGCAAAGAAGACTGACATGTTATCATAATATAATTTGCACTTTGTACCTTTACTAAGGCACTGACGTTAACTTGGATCATCCACGTGTTTACTGCATTAAATACTAAAACAGTGACGTCTATTCGAATTGCTTTGTCAATTGTTGGTGTTCTCCTCAGATCAGGCCAGGCATGAACCCAAGAATTGTACATTTGTGTTTGTTGCCGAAGCCATTGTGAACCTTGTATACCAGTATAAAAGTAAAAGACCCAATTCTTAATCAAAATAATTTCCCCTGGTAAACTAGGACGGGAAATTTATTTAGATCATTCACCAAAATTCGAATCTCCAAATATTCAAATAGGATGCCAAAAACATTTTTTGCCAGGGATCAACGCATTACAGAACCTCTTTGACCTACTAAATCGATCACACGGAGTCCACTGACTTATACATGAGGATATCTGATATCGTCTCAAAAAAATCACGACTTGAGATTCATAAAATAAGAAAAGCTCACACGGTTAGAAATTCAAAGTTGCAAAGCATAAGTAGTACCTCAATGTTCCCGGATCTTCGGTGCTGAGAGGGACGTATGAGCGATTGTGATTAAGCAACGAGGTCGTCGACAGCTCTATCACGGGTCCTCCAGCGGAACTCGCCGGCGACGAACCTGACGGAGCCCGGACGCTCTTTAATGCGTCCCTGTACTTCTTATACAAGATCGTCCGATTCCTCGTCGCCATTGAAAACGAAAAAATAACAAACTTTACCGCGAGATAACGACTTCAATAAAAAATCAATTACAATACGAATGAGATCTGTAGTTGTGCGGATTAGTAGATTTCTGGTTTAGTGTCGGTTCAGGATCGGAAAGGCTCCAGAGAGAAATCGGAATCTGGTTGAATTTTCGGAGGGATTGGATTTTCCAAGTAATTTGTTTCAACAATTCTACTCGACGGTATGGAACTCTTCGAAGGAACTTGTGCGTATTTTGTTCCGTTGGGTGGGATCAAATGGGACACACTTTTGGTCCTTAAGTGGGACCTGGGAGTCATGGAAAGGGACCGAGCTACATGATCCGCACGAGTGAGTGCAGAGATGACCATACATACTTATCTATGGAGGTCGGTATTTTTTTAATCACTTGGTATCTACCTCGACATGTGAAGGTGCGGTCACCCATTGTGTCAACCGTGATGTTCGCTTGACATTTTCCTATGGAAAGACCTTTTGTTTGAAAATATTAGGGGTTAATAATACAAAACGTCCGTTTGACATTTATTGAAAAAAAGTCCTTATGTCTCATTTTTTTTTACATTTTCGTCCTTATTTCAACGTTTCATTGCAGAAAACGTCATTTTATCTATTTTGAATGTAAAATGACTAAAATACCCTCTTATTTAAATAAAACCAAAAAGAAAGATAAGGAATAAATTGTAATCTTAATCATAAATGTTTTAAAAAGTGCAAGTAAGTCCAAATAATTATTAAAAGATCTAATAACACAAAGCGTCCCAACGTTTGGACTGTAGTGTGCAAAATGTCCCTACGTTTCAAATTGATGAAAATAACGTTTTTTGCAATAAACGTGAAAATATGGATGAAAATGCAAAAATATATATATATTGAAACATATGGACTTTTTTGCAAGAAATGTCAAACGTAGGGATGTTTTTCCAAAAGAATTGTC